CCATCCATCCATCCATCCATCCATCCATCCATCCATCCATCCATCCATCCATCCATCCATCCATCCATCCATCCATCCATCCATCCATCCACACAGAAAGGGTCCTTTCTGTGTGGAACCTTTTTGCTGTAAGGCATTAGTGCTGCCCACTGCACCATCACAACTACAAACTAAAATTTTCCACAATTTACTAAGTAGCTCATGCTTAGTTAGATTGGATGAGGACATGTGTAAACATTACTTTACAAGTTATTTCACAAATGTATAATTGGATTAAGGGCTGGACTTTTATAAAGCTTTGAAACACACTATGAATATTTCGATCTTTAGCTTTTTTGCTGCAAATTTGGCTGTATATTTGACATCATCCTAATGTGAGGGGAACCTCTGTCTCATGTGTTTTGCAGCTTCCAGCAAGTGTTTTTACAGATTGATGCTCATCTGATAAACATCCTAGATTTCTGTTTAACACATTTGCTAAACTTTAACAAAATATAGCTCTGATGAGCTATATTCCAGCAGCCCTCGGCATTAAGGAATTTATGGGAATCTATTAAAAAGATTGATTCTATCTAAAATAAAATCATTGGCATCCATCCAAACATTAACAATTTTTCATTTGAATGTGACGCAGCATGTGAGGTAACTATAGAAGCTATGTTTGGATTTTTTTTTTTAATCAAGTTTAGCTTTCAAAGTTGATAAAATATTAGACTTATTATAGCCTTCGGTTTATATGTTAGATCCAATCCCATTCAAATTATCTATGGAGGTACCCCCTTTGATTTCCTTTCCTATTTTAGATATGATTAATCTACAGGGAATGTACCACATTTAAGATAGCTATAATTAAACCATTAGAAACATTCTCTCGACAAATTGTTGACTTAAATCTAATCTTCCTTTCTTATCTAAAATCCACAAGAAAATAGTAGCTAATTCAGTTTTTAAGAGTCACACAAATTACCTGTTTGAAGAGCTGAACAGGTTTTAGAGCTCAACATAGCATGGAAACAGCACCAGTGGAAGTCATTAACTATAAAAGCAACCAATTAACTCAGTTCACCTTTGCCAATTCTAAAATGGAAAGCATTTAATGGATCAGAGCTCCTATGTTGTTTTCCTGTGTCAGCTTCAGTAGAAGATGAGCCTGGCTCTGCTGGATATATCTTTCTCTTAAAAGAGTTTTCCTTTCCACTGTGACTGGATGCATGCTTGGTGTAAGCGACTGCTGGTCAAGTCAATTACAATATGGAAAGGACTTTCCACTTTCTAAAGTAATTGACAAATGCAATCACCTTGTTTTCCTCAGACTGAAAACTTTTAACCAATCGGTCCATATATGTTTGAACCAACTATGTAAAGTGCCCTGAAATAACATGTATTATGAATTGGTGGTCTATATGTAAATAAACTGAATTAATACAGCTCCACCCATCTTCCAATCAACTCAGATCAGATTCCATGTCACCACTGAATGAAAACATCCCCACAGCGTAATGTTGCCTCTATAAGTCACAGTGGGGATGGTGTATCCCTGGCGATGTAGTCTTAGTATTCCTCAACACATATCTTGCTTGCCAAAAACAAAAAACAGACTTTTTGTCTATAGAGACCACCTTTCGCACTATTTGATTATGTGATCTTCTTTCACTTATTATCTCCAACATATCTTCACAAAAAAATTATATTAAGTCGCTTCTTAAATAGGTTCAACAAGGTTTTTGTTAAGCTAACTGAATATAGATGCATTATAGGTACATTTTATTTGTAGGGGGAAAAAAATGAGAAAATGAAAGCTGTTGTTTCTGTTTCTCTACGTTATCCATTATTTCAGTTTTTTTTTTTTTTTTAAATCAGTTTCTAAAAAATCAAAACAAAATGCATTGATAATTGTGGTTTTAATGTGACAAAATGTTAGAAAGATAAACGGGTCTCTATTTACAAGTTTTTCCTCACAAATCCACATGTATCTAAAATATAAATTTAAGAATGAGTCAGCCTTCCTTGTCATATCCTGGAGCAGTTAAAGTGTACTGCTTCCATCCATCCATCCTCCTCCTTTCCTCCATGCATCTCCTCTATGAACTACACGGCGCAAGCTGATTGGTCTAATCTCACACTTTCACTCAGCTGACCAATCAGCGTGGGCCACGGTGAGCTTTTTTTTCAAACTGTATTAGCTGTACTTCTGTGAGAGAAGCTGTGCAGCGGCGGCAGTCTGTGTTGTGTCTACGGAAGAGACGAGCCGAGCGAAGTTAAAACCATGAAACCGTTTTTACTCGGTGAGTTTATCGCGAGAGAATGTTTTTATATCCTTGCTCTGAATTAGTAATGTATAGTAATCAATGTTATAAGTATTTAAGCACGTTTTAGCTAGCATTAGCTAGCAGGGCTAAGTTAGAATGCAGTAGAAGGCCTTTTCTTTCGGTTTTTCTCATCAAATAATTCAAAAATAAACGCTTTATGTATAAACAGACCGTTGGTGTCATTTATCTTATTGTGTTTTCTATTCTTTTCCATTGAATATAAGCGGTGTTTCTTATTGAGTGACGCCCTCTTGTCTTGTAGGAGTGCTGGGCTGCTCGCTGGTCCTTTCTGTCAGAGCCATGTACTCCTCCAGTGATGATGTTATTGAGCTCACACCTTCCAACTTCAACAGGGAGGTGATCCAGAGCGACAGTCTGTGGCTGGTGGAGTTTTATGCCCCCTGGTGAGTCCACACAGCTGTCAGAGGCGTAGCCAGAACATTTTTATAAGGGTGGCCAGGCAATAACCAACGTACACTGAGGGGTGGCCGAATATGGAAAGGCACCAGAACCTCAGGGTCTATCTACACTGTTCCAACTGGAAAAATAACAAGCAAAACATCCATAATTTCTAAATAAAAAACAGAAAATACTTTTCTACAGCCTTTGCTAACAAATAGATGCATATATTCAAACATCCGTGCTTTCTAGATAAAAGGTATAGTGCATACAATTCTTTCAGGTTTAAGTTCTGGGGCGAACATCTTTTCTATTTGCATTACTTACCTACTTTTATCAATCATCCTGCATAAGATCGATATTTACAAGTACTAATATCTACATAAATTGATTATTTAATACATTTTTATTAAAATAGTTAATAGTTATAGCTTTGATTTCACTAAAGACCCCTAGATGAATGCAGAGACATAATTTTCTCTTTACCCCATAAAACACAAAATCTAGTTCTGAAAAGAGCATGAATTCTGTACTTATCTTTAATGTTAGTATATTGATGTGCATAATTAACCACAGTGTTTTTGTCTATCAAGTAATTATGAATATATGAAAAAATGGTAGGGGTGGCCCTGGCCCCCCATCTAGCTCCGCCCCTGGTGTGCATTCATTCATAGCTGTGGTTCCGGATCAGTTCTAATTTTATTAGACAGGGTTTGTGATTGAGATTCCTGTCTTTTAACCTTTCATATGTTTCTCCACCAACAAAAAAGGTCTTGTAAACAAAGTATGGTGTCCATTGCTTACTTAGGAGCTGCAGGGTAAAGCCAACACCATTAGGCTCTTTCAGTTTCTATATAAAAGAAACAGAAAATGTCAGGAGATCAGGTCTGTATGAGTTTAAAAACTAGGATCACTACAGGTTAATTCGGGTTACCATAAACCTAATGTTATTAATATATTATATTTAGCTCTAAGAAAACCGTTTTATGGTTTTAAAGAAATGGTATCTTGGTTTAAAAAAAGTGAGTTGAGTATTTTTTTTTTTCTTTTCTTGTTGCTCATAGTAATATCTTAGAATCAGATGAAGAACATATTCAATTTTGTATAACCTCATACTTATAACGTTGTATTAATGCTTTAATTTGGTTCTAATTCCGTTATCTTACATCTAAATGATTGTTTCCCATTGCAATTAAAACAAGAAATTGGGAAAAAAAATTCAGGTTATCTAAGTGTTTGACCAACCAGCCACAGAACAAAGGAGAAATTGGAAACATTTTTAACTTTGATTTCGTTTTTCTTTCCTCCTGAATCAGTTTTTGCACCAAGTGTTTTTCCCTTGTGTTTTAAGGAGTTTGAAAATATGGTGAAGAAAGTTTGCAAGAGATGTTTTTTGGTATTGATGTATTAAATGCATGAAAGAACATGTATTTTTCAATGTTTCACTAACAATTAAGCTATTGGAGCTGTCCTAGGAAACATTGTCTAAGTTCCAATCTTTGGTCTCTTTTTTTGTTTTATTTTTTGTTTTATTTTAAATTAAAAACTAAGGAACATCAAGTAATTAACTAAAACGTTTTCCTTCTGTTTTTCCTCAAAGGTGCGGCCACTGTCAAAATCTAGCTCCAGACTGGAAGAAAGCAGCAACAGCTCTCAAGGTAATCACAGCAGGGCCGTCACAAAATCGTTTTGTTTTTTTTCCATTCTGTTTTTGTTAATATCTAAAATAAATACATTTATTCTCATTAAATATTTTGATGGGGGAAAAATAAGGCTGATAGAATTGATTGTTTATCTGAAGCATTAACCTTTAAAGGCTGCTCCTCACTCATAACTGTCGGGGGGGAGAATGTCACATTCTTTGGCTTTATAACCATCTGCTGCAGATGCCTTTTGTTAAATATAAACAATTTTAGTAATTTGAATTGCTTAATTAAATTTGAAATTTTTAAATTTGTAGCTAAATTTAGGCTATCGTCTTCTCCTAAAGTAGTTCATAGTGTGGAATGGGGTAGTACATTACAAATCTTATGTATTTATTATTTATTTATATTTTTACCTTTAGGGGGCTGGTGTATTCCACAGCAATAAGCAGCAGATTACTACTTTTAAAGGCATACATGATCTTAAATGCACCTTATGCTAAAAAAGGTTATATTACTTTTTTGTTTTCTGAAAAATATGTGAATGTAAAACTCACCTTTCTGCTTTATGTTTGGAAAGCTGTAACTTTTTCTCAATTGTCGTAATATAACAAATAGGGGTATGTGTGATGAAGACTTGGATAAAATGGACTCATCTGTCCCCTTTTTTGACTTTTAGACATTAAAACAATGCATGCTACACATGCTGAATAAAATATAGATTTTGCTCTCAACAGAGTTTTCAGGTACTAATGTATCTGTGTCAATCTTTCAGGGTATTGTAAAGGTTGGGGCTGTAGATGCTGACCAGCACAAGTCCCTGGGAGGCCAGTATGGTGTCAGAGGGTTTCCCACCATCAAGATCTTTGGAGCAAATAAGAATAAACCAGAGGAGTACCAAGGTGACGGCAGGAATTTCAGTTTTTAACTTGATTTCAGTTAAAATCAAGAGATTTTTTTTTTCTTATTACTGTTGTGATATTAGTTTTATTTATTTATTTCCTTTGTACTAAGCGCAAGTTTGTAGATGTTTCATTTTATTTTATTTGACTATGAAACCTTGCTTTTCTAGAGTCAAAGTCCTGTTACTGGTGTCCTCACTTTTACTTTCATGCATTGATCATACTAGTTTCAACTATTTCTTCCCCTATGTGTGATGAGGAAAAACTTTGAGACTGTATTCACCTAAAGAGCTGAAGCAGGAAAATTTTTTGTTTAATGTAAACAGACCATAAGTTTATGTCAACTGGTGTTATATAATACAATGGTGTAATGATTAAAACTCATCTTTACTACCACTAGGGGGACGCAGTAGTCAGGCAATTGTTGATGGAGCAATGAATGCTTTACGCACACTTGTCAAAGAGAGGTTGAGTGGCAAGTCTGGTGGCTCCAGCTACAGCAAGCAGGTAGATGAACCACTGGAACCCCAAACATATTAAACATCCATGTAATATAATAAAGAAAATTCATGGAAATTAAGTTTTACATCTAACTTTTTGTTGCTATCAAGCAAAGTACGGGTGGCAGCAAAAAAGATGTGGTGGAGCTCACTGATGACAACTTTGATGAGACCGTACTGAACAGCGACGACGTGTGGATGGTGGAGTTCTTTGCCCCCTGGTGTGGACACTGCAAGAAGTAAGTTGGATTAGTTTTGTTTTCAGCAAACAGCCTGCTTTCATCTGAAAGAACAAAATAGGCCCTCTTATATCAGCAATCTCTTAACCTGAAATCTGTACAGTCAAGTCTGAAAATTCTCTGTGCATGCAGGCCCAACTTGACTGGAATGTTTTTAGAAAATTGGGAAGATTTAAAGATCAATAAAAGCATTTTCAAAGAAGCAGTAAACACAATTTCAGCACTGTACTTTAACTGTAAGCCGAAAATAATCAAAATTGGACTTAAGCATTTGTTAAACATTAATAATATATTATTAGGAATTCTTGTTTTTTTTTTTTTAAATAAGTTAAAGGTGACTTTTTGGGGTTGTAACTGTCACTTTGTCCTTCCCAGCCTGGAGCCAGAGTGGGCAGCTGCAGCAACAGCTGTTAAGGATCAAACCAAGGGCAAGGTTCGCCTTGGGGCTGTGGACGCTACCGTACATCAGGTTGTGTCCGGCCGCTATGGAGTGAGTAAAATCTGAATATTATATCCTCACTTCATTTGAATTCTGAAACCCAAAATAACCCTAAAAGCTTGTCTGTAGAACTGGGGTTCGTATTCTCTGCACAGGCACCTGCGTTCTGTTTGTAGTTCCATATGCAGGGCTTTTGTATGTTGACAAGCAGTGGATGTTTTGGGACATTTAAGTAATTTGCTTTAGAGGGTAACAGTAGTATTTCATCATTTATTTAAGGTTTGATTCTGAGTCAAAGTCAAGGTTTAAATCCTATTTGGGCTCCTTAAAGAGGGATTGCATGTTTCTTTTCTGACAGAATGTATTCTCTAAAAGGAAGATCAGACAAGAGACTATGCTGCTGCCCTAAAAGGTTCTACTTGAAAGGTTTTAGTGTTTTTTTTTTTGTTTTTTTTTTTTTAAGTGCACTTCGAGGTCAATGTTTGGTTTTAATGTAATCATCTGTTGATGTTTGAGTTTCTGCTTTATTCAAGCTCCAGACTTTTCCAAATACAATGTAACTTTAGTGGGTTGAAACAGTTTTTGAAAGACCACGCATTGCATCCTATCGCATTTATTATTTCAGTATTGGTTTATGAAGTATTTCAGATGACAAGGATTGCTGGAATGCTACATTAAGTATGGTATTACAGTTGGAGGGTTGGTAATTTGGTAACATCTTTGGCCATGTGAATGGATGTCTTCACCTGATTTGTATCGTTTAGTGCCTAAGATGCTGAAGCCCATGGAAAGTGATGGGCAGCCTGTAAAGAAGGAAAGCTTTTTTCTGAGTTTTGTAAAAGAAAATGATCAATTCTATGACATTAGTTATGTTTTTAAAAGAATTGTTTTTTCTACGTAAAGTAAAATCTTGTTCAATATTTACATTAATAGTACACTTTTTTTATTTTGTGATTAGCCTTAGCTTTGGTGGTTCAATGTTATATTTTAGGAATAAATGCCATCATAATGAGTCTCTCTGTACTTTGAAGTCATTTTCTCAAGTCCTAAATGCTGGGATTATTTTTTTTTTTCCATCACATCCTGCAGCCAAGACTGGTATTAAAGGAATGTTTTTGTATGTTTAGATCCGTGGATTTCCCACAATCAAAATTTTCCGTAAAGGGGAGGAGCCAGAGGACTACCAAGGAGGACGCTCCCGTGGAGACATCATTGAGAAGGCAATGGATCTGTTCTCTGACAATGCTCCTGCACCTGAGCTGCTGGAGGTCAGTATAATTCTGTCTTTAGAATGTGCAAAATGGTATTTTGGGCATTACCACTTTAGGAGCAGATCTGAAGTGAAGATTTGATCAGGGTCCCTTCTGTCTGAAACCAGAATTTGAATACAGTACTAGATGTCTTTCATTAGAGCAATAAGCATTTTTAAAAAGTATTAAAACCTTGATAAGCACATGAAAAATAAATACTCATATTTCGTTTTCATAATCGTCTAAAATATCCGTCTTACAATAACAGATTTTAGCTTCAATCAGACCTTTTTTTTTTATTCATTTCCAGATCCACCATGCCTTTGCATCTATTAACTTGTTGGGTTGTAAATCTCCCATAAATCCCTCAGTGTCTAAATTCTTCACCAAGCAATTTAATGTGGTGCATCCAAAAATAAGTCTAACATGCTGCAATAATAAAGTTATGGGATGATAGACTCTGAAAAAGTAAGCTTTCAAGGTCATGCAAAACATCAAATTCTGGAGTTGAACTTTAGCATGCTTGTGGTCAGAGATCGGAAATCTTAAGTAAAATCACATTTTGGTTGGGGAAAAGAAAATTTTGGCAAAATTTTTCAGCTTTAAAATGGGCCAATAAATAATTTGGAAAAGGAAATCAAGAAACATTTTCCAGTTTGATGTCCTTACAGAAAATAGTTGGGAGTTAAAGATGTATTTTTGTTTTCTTTCAGATCCTTAATGAAGATGTCTTGAAGAAGACCTGTGAAGACAGCCAGCTGTGCATTATCGGTGTCCTTCCACACATCCTGGATACAGGTGCCACCACACACATCGCACTTGATATATTGTTTTTGAATAAATCAAAACTTATTTTACACAGGAATCCTAAATGATCCCCATTCCTCTTATTTCCCCAAACAGGAGCATCTGGTAGAAATGCTTATCTGGAAGTGATGATGAAGATGGCAGAGAAATATAAGAAGAAGCTTTGGGGGTGAGGATTGATGCCATTGGATCCTACATAATGTAGACAATCATGCAGATGTCTGATCTTAAGTTTCTTTTCAGCTGGCTTTGGACTGAAGCAGGGGCTCAATCAGAGCTGGAGACTTCTTTAGGAATTGGAGGATTTGGCTACCCTGCCATGGCCGCCATCAATGCACGCAAGATGAAATTTGCTCTCCTCAGAGGTTCCTTCAGTGAGACTGGCATTCATGAGTTCCTCAGGTAGAGGGCGCATTTTTCCCATTTTTCTAACAAAAGAAAAGAGGAAAAAAACTGACAGGAGAACCTTATGTTACTGATTTCAGGGAGCTTTCTGTGGGCCGAGGCTCCACCTCCACACTGGGAGGCGGAGTCATGCCAAAGATAAACAGTGTAGAAGGCTGGGATGGAAAAGATGGAGAGGTGAGTGTGGGTGCATTTGTTTTCCTATGGGAGTACATTTCAGTTTTTCAGTAGGACTCTGTAGTCAAGCCTTGCTAATTATGGTTATCCTCACACTACTTAACCTGCTGGGTAATGGTGGAGTTTTACCTCACTACATGCTTAGAGGTATTACTGAGTCAGTTTTGATCTGAAGAAGGCTCTGATTTT